TTTATTGAAACTAGTGAAATAACTTTAAAAAAATATTCTGGTTTTATTAATAATATTGAAAATAATATTAAAAAAATTAAGACTAAAAAAGAATTGTTAGATTATTTGGATACTATATTTTATAATCATGTTCTTATGCAATGATAAGATATTTTTTTTATTAATAATATAACTAAACTTTAAATTTATCATTCGATAAAAAAAATAGTATTTTTGAAATTAGTATTTTCTATTAATAATAATAAATAAATATAAAAGTACTTAATTGTTCTTATAATTTTCTTTGTTCTTTGTATCCTCTTGATTCAAAATATATAAATAAAAATAAAAAATACAAATTTGATAATTAAAAATGGAACTTGAATATATAAAAAAAAATTTATTCATTATTGAAGATAAAGATGTAAAGATTGATCTGAAAGTATTGGAATTTGGAAAAATTATATCACGATGTAATTCAAATTCTAATCTTTTAAATGAATTAATCTTAGATAAAGATCTTATAAATCGTTTAATTGATGCTATGATTTGTTTGGAAAAGATATAAAATATGGACCTAAAGATATTACTGTTATAAAATACAGAGAATGGTTAGAAAATAATTTTTTTCAGAAATAATAACAAAGAATAAAAAGTTTGCAAAGAGAGATAAATTTGATAAGATTATGAAAGATATTACCTTTGAATGGAAAAATCGAGATATTTCATTAGTTAAAGATTTGTTAGATATTATCGAAAATGATAATGAATTCATATTGTTTCTTGAAGAATATAGAAATAATATTTTATTAAGTTTTTTAAATAATATTAGATCAATATCTGAAAGAACAAAACTTACAGAAAAATATACATTAAATAATGAATTAGTGAATAGAATTCATAATTGTTTTAATTTTGAAAATATTTTTTTTAGAATTTAAAAACTAAGATTTTATAATTATTTATATTTGTTAATAAAAACATCTAACTATTAATAATATTCAATATATTATATTATTAATATTTTTATCGATTTATTAATATTTTTTTTTATAAAATTGGTGTGAGTTGAGTAATAAAAATAGTTTTTTTTTATCTTTGCCTAAAATGAAATTTTCTACTGAAATATATTGTATAATTCTTGAAAACTATGACTTTGATGATAATTTTAATAATTTTAAAGAAATTAGAAAACTAAGTTCTGTTTGTAAATTGTTTAATGATATTATCGAAAAACTTTTAATTAAAGTTTATCTTATCGATGAAGATAATATGAAATATAATCCAGAACCAACACATACTTATTTTTTTATTGAAAACAATACAAAAAATAAAATATCGTATAAAAGATTTAAAAATATAAGATCTATTTATTATAGTTGGCAATCTTTACAAACACAAAAAATTTCTTATGGAAGTTCTTTTTATAAAGCTCGTAGTCGATTTACTATTGAATATATTATTCCAAAAAATATTTTTTATGAAAGATATTATAAATTTCCTTACTTTATTGAAAATATTAATAATAAGACAGTATTTGAAATTAAAAGTATTTTTGGCTTTAACAAAAAATTTGTAATTGATTATGATATTGGTTTATTGGATTTTTGGAAATTGGGAGAACTTGATAAAGACTGGGTCCATTGTCATGATTTGAGTTACCATTTTACTGAATTGATTTTAAAAAAATTACTTTTATTTAAATATTTGAAAAATAAATATAATAAAATTAGAAATATTTATAATAATTTATTTCATAATTTTGATAGTAATAATGAAGTAAACTTAATTGATTATTAATAATTGTAAATTATATTAATATTTATTAAATATTTTTTTTCTATAAATAACTTCTTAATAAACTTTAATAACATCATGGATAACATTGAAAATCTTGTTTTGGAAAAACATCTGAATGTAATTGAATGTGATCAATTTGGTGAATTAGAAAAGATTACAAAAAATATCTCTGAAGTGTATAAATCAAAATGGAAACCCTTCAATTTACCTGTTGTTTTGAAAATATTTAGTATCGATACAAATCAAAATAATTATTTCTTTATAAACGAAATTAAATATTTACATAAATTTAGTCATCATCCTAATATAATTACTTTTTATGGTATTACTAAAAATCTAACCAATAAAAATTATAGTATCGTTTTAGAATATGCAAATAATGGTGATTTACGTCAATATTTGAAAAATAATTTTGTATCTTTTACATAGAATAATAAACTACATTTCTGTAAAGAAATAATATTAGGTCTTTATTATTTACATAATAATAATGTTATACATAGAGATCTTCATTCAAAGAATATTTTGGTTGATAATAGGCATGTAAAAATAGCTGATTTTGGATTATCATCCTTCTCTAATGAAAAGATGAATTATGCTTATGGAATGCCTGCATATGTAGAACCATTATACCTAAAAAATCCTAATTATGAATTTACAAAAAAATCTGATATATATAGTCTTGGTGTAATTTTTTGGGAAATTTCAAGTGGTCAAATTCCTTTTTATTCATTTACATCAAAGGAAGCTATCGTAATTCATATAATTCAAGGAAATCGTGAAATACCTATTGGAAACACACCAAATAAATATATTGATGTTTATAAAAAATGTTGGAATGAAGATCCTGAAAAACGTCCAAATGTTTCTGAACTATTAAACTTAATATAAATAAATTTATTAATTTGCATTATTAATTAAAATAATTTATTCGTAATTCATCATACCAAATCAATAAACTAATTATAAATAAATATATTTCAAAACAATATGAATAAGAAAATAATTCTAATTTTGATAATATTAATATCTAAAATTAATTCTTATACTTTAATCGAATGTCTTAAAGATATAAAGGAAGATACTCCAGATGAATTTAATTTCGAATCCAATCCAATATGGAAAGATTATTCTATTTTTCTATTTTCGATTATGGAATGTTTTAATATGATTAAAGATTATCGTAAGGATAGAATATTAGTATTGTATCATGAAAACAAAGATTTGTTTGACCATTATTTGTATGTTGTTAAAGTTTTGAATCATAAATTACAAAATATAAATGAACTTTGTAATTCTAAATTAGAAAAATAGTTTTATTCAACATTTCAAATTATTAATTAATTATTTAATTAGTTTTTTTCGTAAATTGATATTAATGATTATTAATTATTTTAAAATATAAATAAAAAGAAAAATCTTTTATGTTTTATTTAAAGATGAAGTCAAAACTTAATAATGATATATTCGTAATCATCATATCATATCTTTATGATATAGACTTTTTTTTATTTAACTACATTTTTGTTTCAAGAACATGGGCTAAAATTATAATTCCATTATTATGACAAGATCCATTCAAATATTATATAAACAAAAACATTGATTCATTGAGAAAAATCATATATTATAATCTAACTCCTGATGAAAAATATGAATTCAAAAATTATATATTGTTAAAGGATTCTCCCACTCTCTTTCCATATCTTAAATATATAAAGGTGATTAATACAGATCATATAAGATTAGTATTTCACCAAAACCTTATTGAAATTACAGTAAAATTATTATTAAGATCTTCTAACATGATAGAAACTATTAAAATAGTAAATATTTATCCAGGTCTTGATTTTAATAATTTTGAAAATATTATTAATTTAAAAAAATTAATAATATATGATATTCAAAATTTTGATTATTCGATCTTGTTTAAAAAGGCATTGAATATAACACATCTTGTATTAGACTCAGTTGTTGATAAAAAATTATATATTAATATTATCATATTACAAAATTTAAAACATCTTAAATTAACAGATTGTATTTATGATATTAACGAAATTGTATTTATCATCAAAAATCTAAAAAAACTAGTTGAATTAAAAATAATTAATTTTAATTTGATATTATTTTTTTCTAACTACAGCAACATTAATAATAGTTCTGATACAAAGCAAATAATTGATGAATTCAATAAACATGAAAATCTGAGGAATATGATATTAAATATAGATAAATATAATATTTCTTTAAATTTAGAGAAATAAATGAATTAATAAATTATATATTTATATCTTTGTATCATTAATTAAATAAAAATCAATTATTATTAAATAATATATCAAACAAATTAAAAAAAATAATCAATTATAACAAAATTTGATTAATAATTAAATTGTAATATTAAAATCAATATCGCTAGATAAACTAAATCCTATATTTTTGTTATTGCATTTTTCTAATTTATAATTTGGGTATTTTGATAAAAATAAATATGTAAAAATTTGAATTATTGTTAAACTATATTTCTTACCAGGACATTGTCTAATACCTTTACCAAATGGTATGAAAAAATTTGTTCCTATGTATTCATGACTAATGAATCGTGATGGGTCGAATATATTCAAATCATGAGTATTCCAAGATGAGTTATTATGATGAATCACATATGCATTTGGCATAATCATAGTACCTTTTTTGATTTTGTATTTTTTACTATTAATAATCAAATCAAAATCATTAATTGCTTGATTATTTAGCAAAGAAAATGATGATTCATATCTCAATACTTCGTAAATAAATGCATTTAAAATCTGACACTTTGTTATTTTTTCATAACTATTTTCAACCAATCGGATCTCATTTAAAATTTCTACTTTCCAATAAAGGTTTTTTTTATCATACAAATACCAAATAATTGACATTAATGTTAATTTGATTATATTCAATCCAGAAGAAGTTGTTATGATAAGATCATCTAACAATATATCTATTGATAATTTGTGTTTCTTATTTTCATTAATAATATTCTTAACTACTTCACTACCTTCATCATTATCAATCATTTGTTTGAAAACATCATGTATACTTTTAATATTTTTATATATTCTATATGATTCTTTTGTTAAAGGAAATGGAAATTTAATAAACCGATTCAATATTTTCTTTGAGTCAAAATATATATCTTGAAAACATGTCATCAATGTTTTGATAACTGGTGTATTTTTCAATTCGAAATTTTTGTCGATATATTTTACCATATACTTTTCATTATTTTTCCAGAAAAAATCTCCACAAACATTTTGAATAAATGTATCTAATAAATTAGTGATATTAATCACTTCTTTAAACTTATATTTTTCAAATAAAATATCAAATTGTTTATGAGAAATCTGTATTAAATTATTAATATTTTTAATAGAATTTATTAAAATATTTTTACGTGTTTTAAACAAAGGTTCAAAAGTAGATGTATGGGATATTGATCTTTGACCTAGTTTTTTAAATGCTGAAAAACTTGATCTGTCAATATTTACACCTTGTTGATTATATATCTCTCGACATGAATCTTTGTTGATTCCATACAATTGAATATTTATACCCGAAATTATTCCAACTAAATCATCATCAATCACTGGAATGATCGAATGTTGATTTTGATTTTTTTCGAATATTTTATTCTTTTGTAATTCTGATCCAATAATAGGATATGATGTTATGATTTTAATTCCTTGTTTTTGGTAAAATCGACATAATAACAATAATTTTAATATTTTTACTATAAAAAGTAATGAAAGGATTAAAGTTATATAATAAATCATTTTTACACTTATTTTTTTTCATGTATTTTTTTTTTAATTTTTATATAAAATTATATTAATAATAAAAATTTTTAATATTAATAATAATTTATTTGTTAAAAAATATAAAATAACAAGATGCCACCTATTATTGTAATACCAATAGCAATAACAATAATACTTATCATAACTATTATCAAATTTAAAAAAATATTATAAAATGGCATGTTTAATTATGTTAATTACTGTCGTGTGTTTTGTAGGATTTATGTTAAATCCTAAGATTGTTAGAAAATAAATATTATAAATACACTATTCTTTTTTTATCATTAAAAATAAAATGGCATCCGAAGAAGAACTCAGACAATTACAAACAAATCTTTTATATTCTAAATTTTTAACACAAAACTATTTTAAAGATAGTAAAAATTTTTGTTTTCATTATTATGTAAATAACGATTATTTCATTTTTAAATTTTACAAAGGTAATCAAAATTTTTAATTATTTATTGGTATAATAATTATTAATATTAATAATTTGATTAATTAAATAGAATCTATATTTGTCAGAATGATAGCTTACAAAGATCATGAACCGATTAACTTAGATATAATTCAAGAATTAGGATTTTCGTTTTCATTTCTTACTACGGAAAATGATTTACCTTTTTTAAACCAAAATGATTCTGAGTACATACTTTTAAATGATAAAGTTAAAGCAGTAAAAATTTATTACAATAAAGGTCTTATATTTGAAGAAAGCAATTTTATGAACTTATTTACATGATTATTGCAAAAATAAATTTTATTCTAAACAGAATACAAAACAAAATATAAAAATGTTATTCTAAAATTTCTCTATTTGTTTCATATAATCTAAGTTTCTTTCTTAGTCTTCTTGCTCTTAAACATTCTCTTGCTTCGATTAATTCACCTTCCAATTTTTTTTTCTAATAAATAAATAAATAAATATATAAATAAATAAATAAATAAATTGAATATTGAATATTATAATATAAATAAAAAAACGTAACTCTTTTCTTTAGAATATTAATTTGTTCATCAACATCAAGAATATCATCTTCAATATCTTCAACAGAACGTTTTCTTCTTTGTGTATCAGATGTGGTATCGTTATTTGCAGTATATGAGCGTTTTCTGGATGAATTATTAGGAAGCGGATTCTCAGTGTCATTATTATTATTGTGTGGTGGAGTTGTTGCCATTTTAAATTGGTAAAGGAATGTTATTTTTTTCTTTCAGATTATACGCAGTATTTTTTGTGATGTTTTGAAAATTTTTTAATTTTTTCTTTTATATTAAATTTTAAAATTTTTTTTGAAACGTCACAAATTTATTATACTCGTTTAAACAATTATGATAAATTAAACTATTACAATTAATCCAAAAATGTAACAATAACATCATTATAAAACATGCATATTTTTATATATGTAACAATTAATCATCATATCGCATGATTTGTAATGATGTTATTGTTACATTTTTGGATTAGTTTATTTTATTATATGTAAAATTTATACTTCTTACTTAAATTTTATTTAATTTATTTTATTAATTGATATCGATAATAATAATAATAATAATAATAATAATAATAATAATAATAATAATAATAATAATATTAATATTAATAATATTGGTGTTTTGAACCAAAATCGGTTTTAAATGTTTTAATAACTTCGATAGCTTTTTCATGATTATTGTCAGCTGCTTTTTTCATATACGTATAACCATTTAACAATTTCTTTTCATTTCCCAATTTTCTGTTAATTAAGATATCACCATATTGATAACAAGCAATAACATGTCCTAATTCTGCAGATTTCTTTAATAAAGTAGTTGCTAAAATTCTATTAATATTTTTTATTTCTTCTTCATTTTCTTCTTGGTTTTTTCCAATAATAAGATTAGATAATCGAATCATAGCTTCAGCATTGTTTTCTAATGATGCTATGTGATAATATTTCATAGCTTTATCAATATTAATTTCTAAGCCACCATATCCGTAGTGATGATAGTACCCAATCCAATATAATTGTTTAATTTCTCTAAAAATTTTTAAAGCTTCGACTCTGTTTTCATGGATCTCTGATTTATGTAATTCTATAGCTTTCTTGAAAGTCATTGTAATAATTTGCTTTTTTTTTACTTATTGAGAAAATGATTTATTTATATTTTACGTTAATTAATAATTTTAATAATGACAAAATAATCAT